ACTTATTATGGTGTGTATTATGACTCAGTGAAATGTTCTGTTTTTTATTATGTTAGCAAATACTTAACATGTGTTCTTAATTCCCAAAATTACCACATTTTACCACACAGAACTTCCAAACTACCACACTATACCATATGGTATGGCATGGTAAAATCAAACTACCACACTATACCATATGGTATGGCATGGTAAAATCAAACTACCACACTATACCACATGGTATGGCATGGTAAAATCAAATTACCACACTATACCACATGGTATGGCATGGTAAAATCAAATTACCACACTATACCATATGGTATGGCATGGTAAAATCAAATCACCACACTATACCATATGGTATGACATGGTAAAATCAAACTACCACACTATACCACATGGTATGGCATGGTAAAATCAAATTACCACACTATACCATATGGTATGGCATGGTAAAATCAAACTACCACACTATACCACATGGTATGGCATGGTAAAATCAAATTACCACACTATACCATATGGTATGACATGGTAAAATCAATTATCACACAGAACCCTCACATTTAACTTCCAAATTACCACATTTTACCACATGGTAATGCACTGTAAAATCAATTACCACACAGGACAACACATGCCACTTCCAAAATATCATATTTTACCACATGGTATGGCATGGTAAAAATAAATTACAATACTATACCATATGGTATGACAAATGTAAACTCAATTATCACACAGAACTTCCAAACTACCAGACTATACCACATGGTATGGCATGGTAAAATCAATTATAAAACAGAACCTTCACATTCAACTTCCAAAATAGCACATTTTACCACCTGGTTTGACATGATAAAATCAAATTACCACATTATACCACATGGTATGACATTGTAAAATTAATTCCACAAGACAAGACAAATATCCAACAAAACCAAAACCAATCCAAAAGAACAAAATAGCTTCAACAACTCAACCAGCATCAACCATTCATTCAAATAATCCTCTAAGAAAACTATTTACAGCTTCAGCCTTAAAACTTTCTTCAACAGCCTTCAAATTCTCCTCCTCAAGCCTGCTAGTTTTTCTCTTCTTCTTACTTACAGCCCTTGCAGCCTCCGCAACTAGAATTGGTCGTTTCGAAGGCTTGAATGAATCTTTTTTAGGCTTAAACCCCTTCACTTTTTGGACCGGTACATCATCTATACCAAGATAACAAAAACAAACTACAATCAATGACAGATATATATAAAATCATTCTCCTCAAAAAATTGCATATATCAAAACACAAAACTCTAAACAATTAAAAACTTACTGTCACCGTTAGAAGACGTGCTTGTTCCAGCAGGTTCAGTAATCGATAGGGCTTCACACTTTTTGATCAAATCAGTCATGAAGGCCATGGCTGATTTATACAAATCATCATCCAATGCAACCCTGCCGATCATTGATGCAGAAACAGCTGGCAGATTGAAAAGACGAGAACGGTATTTCGATGGACTATCAGTAGACGGAACTTCAAAAGAAAAGTTCCCTCCAGTTTTTGCTGCTCTTGTCCACCGCTTCAAAATCAAACTGCTAGGAATGTGCTGGAACTTCAGATTGCATGTTGTAGACCACAACATATCATATCCCTTAATTTGATGCTTACAGATCATACCACTTGACTCCCACTTACGGCAGGAACACTTGATTTCACCGTTTTCAAAATCAACCTTCAACACCCTACTATCCAACCTTGTAAGGTCATCCTCCAATATGAAGACATCAAACATTCCTACATGTCCTTCTGGTTCTATCTCCGTATTTGAAAAAATATTATACGCAAGAGATTCCTTGTACTGATCCAGGAAAAACTTGAATATCTTCGGCGTATACACATTAGCAACTTGCTTCACAATAGGGCTAGTAGAAAACCGAGAATCAGCCAACCTAGATAAGGCATAGTACTCTTCTTGTTCTTCAGCATCCCTCTTATTATCAAGCATCCTCTCAAAGTGCACAAAGAACCTACTAACGCTAAACTCTGACTGCAAGTAATGTCGAATATTACTATTGCATCACTCACTTAGCTGGGTACTCTTCATTCCCGCACCAAAATGACAATTCACCCAGGCTGAAGACCACTTCGTCCTGACTTTGTAAATGCCCTGTAACCAACTGTGTCCCAAAGGTCCCTTCCTAGGAAAACACTTCTCAATCATCTTCTTCCAATTATACTCAAAATCATCCTCATCATCAGCATTATACATCAAATAGGTATGGCATGGTAAAATCAAATTACCACACTATACCATATGGTATGACATGGTAAAATCAAATTACCACACTATACCACATGGTATGGCAATGTAAAATAAAATTACCACACTATACCACATGGTATGACATGGTAAAATCACTTACAGCAGCAACAAAATCCCAAAAAACCACACTATACCACAAGCTATACATGATAACATCAAGTTACCATATTTTACCACATGGTATGACATGGTAAAATAAATTATCACACATAACCACACCTTTAACTTGAAACTACCACACTATATCACATGGTAAGGCATGGTAAAATCAAATTACAACACTAAACCGATGATTCCAAACATGGTACAAGTAATTACCACCATGGTATGATATGGTAAAACTTAAATACAGAGCACAATAACATCACAAAACAACACTATAGTATCACCTCTCATCGTATACCAGTAATTACCACCATGGTACCATATGGTATCTAACACATTCAAACTTCAATAAACAAACAAATTTGTATATCTTACCTCCTGATTCACCAGAGTTAGCTGAATGATCAAATCCAAGATCAATAGATGAAGAAGCAGTTCCAACAACGCTAGATGAAGAACCAGATCCTACAACGCTGGTTGAAGAACCAGATCTATCAAATGGAACAACATCGCCACAATTTACGTAACTCATCTCACAAGAATACTGCAAAAACACCAAAACACAAAGAACATAACACATGAACAAGCTCGATTAGCTAAACATGAACAAGCTCGACTAGCAGCAATGAAAAACCTCCAACGAAACCAGAGATCAACAGAAAACTCGATTAGCTAAACAGGAAGAATAAAAAAACTAATATCTAACCTCGTCGTCGATCAATTATGGAGAATCAGAAAAGATTCGCCGTCCCCTGTTTCTCAGCGGCTGCTCGCAGTTTCTCTCTCCAAAAACCGAATCCAACTCGCGCACATGTCGAACAATTATGGAGAATCAGAAAGCTCGATTCGAAGCTGCTGCTCGCAGTTTCTATCGCCGTCGATCAATTATGGAGAATCGCCGTCCTTGTTTCTCAGCTGCTGCTCGTAGTTTCTCTCTCCAAAAACCGAATCCAACTCGCGCACAGAAAGATTCGCAACGAACAAAAGGGGGAAGTCATTAATTCAAAAAATCGGACAAAAATGCCCCTGACCATCACCGCATCAACCACAGCCACACGATCAGCCCGACCCAAATCTACGGTCCTAAGGTGGTTACTCACGGGTGAGTAACAAAGGGTTACTCACCCTATCCTAAGCCGTTAATTCCCTAAATATTGCTTTTTTTTTTTATTTACCACGAATAAAGTTGTTTAAAAACTATTTACAAGAATATTGTGTTTTGAAGGGGGTAAGGTAGCGACGGCGCCCGAGACTCAGGCGTTGGCGCTATTTGAAATTTTAAAAAATATCAAATAGCGCCAAAGCCTAAGACTCGGGCGCCCTTCCTCGCCCCACTCCCTCTCGCCAGAACCACACACCCCTGACCCCCCTCCCTCCCTCCTCCTTCACCTCCTCCAACCCAGCGCCGAAGGAAAGAGCGGGGACGCCGAGAAGAAGAGGGCACCGCCTTAGTCTTAGGCGGCCGCGCTCAAAGCCAGACGAAGGAGCCAAACCCAGAGCGCCGTCGCAGATCCACTTCTCCCCGCCATGTCCGATAACGACGAGCAGCAGGCGCCCGGCAGAGGACGAGGCAGAGGGCGGCGAGGGCGTCGCGGCGGCAGCGGCGAACGCTACATGAATAAGTGTGTGTGGCGGTGGCCGGTTTCAGCCGCCGGCGACAATTTTTTTTATTTGTTCTAATTTTTTTTTCCAGTTTCTAGGCTTATGGATCCTTGTTCGATGAGACCACCACCTGCGACAATCGATACAGCTTCGGTGGATCCGGAACATCTTTGGGGGCATGGTCACCATCGTATTGACGCAGTTTGGGCAAACGAGGTAAGTTTTCAAACTATTTCTATAGTTTTTTATTAGCTGAATAATAGAATAGAATAGAATTAAATAAATTACGAATAGAGGTAAATTAAAATACGAATAGAATTAGATTAAATTACGAGTAGTATTAGAATAAGTTTAGTTTAGATATATAAATATAAATATTAGGTGAATTGAATTAATATAAGTTTTGTGCATTAATTATAGGCTGGTGATCGATCTTACCACATTCGTCATACGGGAAATTTAGTACGATACCATCCACTTTACCTGCCGTATCTGGCCGATGCGGGCTTGTCTAGTGTTTTGCCACTAGCCCCTCTTACCGGTGATCCGGGTTTGATTACTGCGCTCGTAGAGCGTTGGCGACCCGAGACATCGACCTTCCACAAGTCGTTCGATGAGGTGATGATCACCCTAGAGGACGTTGCGACACTGACCGGTCTAGCGATCGACGGGGATGCCGTCGTAGTAGACATACCAGACCAGGACTGGTCGGCTATGTGTCTTCGACTGTTAGGAAGGGCTCCTACTGATCTTGGTGGCGGCGTCATCCGGATTGCTTGGCTCAGGGAGACTTTCGATGAGCTACTGCTTTCTACATCACCCCAGACGACAGAGCAGTTTGCAAGAGCGTATGCTCTGTCTCTGATGGGAGGTGTCTTGTTCTCCGATCGGTCTGGAGGTTCAGTTCACCTGTAGTACCTACTTTTGGTGGAGGATTGGCGCAGAGCGGGGAGGTTTGCTTGGGGAGCAGCTGTGCTATCCTACTTGTACCGTGAGATGGGTAGATCGGCGCTGCAGATGACAACATCTTCTTCACTGGGTGGTGACTTTGGTGGATGGTCCGCCTTGCTGATGATCTGGACGTGGGAGCGATTTTCTCATACATCACACTACTACATGCGGAGACGGGTGCGCAGATTACTCAGGACGCAGTGCCACGTGGCCTTCGATGGCTTCCGGCCCACACCCGTCAGCATGGAGATCAGTTCTACCTGTACAAGCTGTGGTTTGACGAGTGCACGACATTCGTGGTTAGTATATAACATTTCGTTTTATAGAATAGTTTTAATTGATTTGTTATAGATTTACGAGTAATTATGTAACCAATCTTTGTGTGTAGTGGCGTCCGTACTTTCATAGAGGTCAGGACTACAACGGTACTGTGATCCAGTCCGACACGTTTCGAGCAATAGTTCCGCTGATCTGCTTCTCATCGCAGATGTGGCATCATCCAGATCGCGTGCTCGGACAGTTTGGGATGATTCAGGACTGGCCTTATCCTCCACATTCCGCGGCTGAGATTAGGTTTTTTCTTCGTCAGGGACAGCATGGGCCATCACGTGGCCAGCAGTTCATACAGGCAGCCAGCGAGTCGATTGAGTTGTGGAACCGACGACATGAGTTCATCGCGGGAACGAGCTACAGTGACGTACCTTTAGCTTACCACTCGGAGCATCGAGAGTGGTATAGAGATGTCACTAGACGTTCAGGCACAGGGAGAGTTGCTGCACTGAACGCAGCAGTGAGTTTTTTATTAATTAAAATTTGCGTTTTAATTGTTTTTAGATGTGTCGAATTTTTGATATTTTATATTTAATTTGCAGTACGACTGCATGGAGTTCGTTGAGTAGGGTTTACGTGATGGGATGAGAGCAGGAGGGCTGTCCTATGACCAAATGGCGGAGTATGCTGACCAGTTGACGTCAGGGTGATAGACCGTTATTTACACATGTTTTTACCCCTGCTCTTACTCCGTTTGAGGTATTGATTCTCGTGTTTTAGGCCGATTTCACGCTAGGTTGTGCTTGTTTATGATATTTCAGGTCCTAGTACGTGAATGGAGGCTTGGGAGCGAGTTTGAGGTCGATTGGACAAGGATCGGACGCATGGCGAGGTTCTGAGGAAGTCGCACGGGCACATCCACAACCCGCACGGCCGTGCAAGTGACCAGTTTGGCCGTGCGGGATTGTGCGTGGGCACGCACGGGATTGTGCGTGGCCACGCACGGCCGTGCAAGTGACCAGTTTGGCCGTGCGGGATTGTGCGTGGGCACGCACGGGATTGTGCGTGGCCACGCACGGCCGTGCAAGTGACCAGTTTGGCCGTGCGGGATTGTGCGTGGGCACGCACGGGATTGTGCGTGGCCAAGCACGGCCGTGCAAGGTGCAATTCTGGCCGTGCACGATGGCTGAAGATCGAATTAAGTGAAACGGCGCGTTTCAGGGTGCACGGCCAGAATGGTGATGTGCACGGCCGTGCACCTGGCCGTGCAACTCGGGAAAGCCGGTTTTAAAGCCTAATCCGAGCCAGATGTGGGAGAATCGTGTTTTGAGAGCAAAAACAGAGCCCTAGAGAGAGAAAGTGCGAAGAACACATCCTAGAAGCTGTCTTAGGAGTGGAAATCATCGTCCCGGAGCAGATTATCCTCATCGTTATGAGTATGACTAATCCGATTCTTGTTTTCTCTTCTCTCTGTATGGAGTAGAACCCTTCTCTCACTTGGGTATGAAGAACCCTAGTTCCTTGTGTTAGGGATTTGATTGTAATGACTTGGGATGATATTACTGTTTGATTTTAATCGAATGACGCATGTTTAATGAATTGATTTGAGTCTGATCAGCTTTTCTCAATTTCTGCTGCAACCTGAGATAAATAGAATCTGATTAGGTTGTTAGAGCCTCTTCATTCGATAGTAGGAGATTGGCTATACGAGAGTTAGCCAGTTTACTGCTTTGTACTGGTGTTCTTGGCGCCAGTAGTGGAGTTCTGTGTTCATAGCCTCAGCTTTCTATCCCGGTGAAGACTAGTCGCCTGCCGGGTAGTTAGACTGAGAGGGCTTGGTCAGCTTAAGAGATTCCAAGCTACTGTCGGATCTTCCGCAGTCTAATCAACAGTAAATCAACCCAGGGAATTGCAATTGAACCTAACTAAGGGGCTAGGGGGACTCAATCCCGAGTGACTCTTGCCTGCTTTAGAAACCCGAACAATTTACTGCTTTCTTGTTGCTTTTACTTTTCACAACAATCACTCGACTTAGTTTGCTAGATAATAGAGAATCACGGAGTAAGCAGTAGATCTAGACCCCGGGTTGATAATTAAACTTGCATATACTGCAGTCCCTTTCATTGGTTACACTTGGCCATTGTTAGGTGTTGTGTTTTAGCGTGTCAAGTTTTTGGCGCCGTTGCCGGGGAACCCTCTAGGTTATTGGGGAAACGTGATAATTTGTTACTCTAGCTTTTTATTTATTGCATTTTTTTTCTTTTCCACCCTTGCTTTTCACTTGGGTGTTATGTTTTTGTTGGTGCGGCTCTGAAACATGGATCCTCATGGCTTCTCCAACCATTGGGGGTATCAACCACCATCCGTGTGGTATTACCCCGAGACTTCCTGGAGCAATCAAGGAGGAGAAGACTATGGAGTCGGATGTCAGTACCAACCCCCCTACTATGGAGAACAACCAAACCCTTGGGAACCTCAGGAACAATATCCTTTTCAAGAAGAGTTCCTGCCACAACCAGCAGAGCCATGCTACACTTCACTGGAAGATCCGAACAAACAATTAAGACTTCTCGTGGAGCAGTTTGCTCGAGACGCTGAGAGAGCATGCTCCAAGATGGATCTTCAAATCCAAGCCCTTGACTCTTCCGATCCCTCATTGCTCCATGACATGGAGCAGACTGTTCAGTGGTCAGCGAAGCAAACAGAGTGGGTGAAGCAAATTTGCTCACATCCTGCTCAAGATCACCTTTCTGCTGCTACGCTAGAAGAGGCGGAGTATGACAAGGGCAGCGGGGGCGTTGAGGAGCCTACAGAAGTTATCCCAGAGAACTCCCATGATGATCATGATCAGGAAAGTCCTCTGGTGGCAGATCACACCGTTCCTCATTTATGCTGTAGCATGCTGGGCCTGTGCGAGGAGAGGCAAGATGATCCCATTGAAGAAATTGCTTGGCGACTTGCTCTCCAATCTGTTCTGGAAGAAGAAGAGCGAGCAAGGATGAGGAAGGAAGTTGTGGAGGATGAGGAAGGAAGTAAAGAAGAGGTAGTTCTTGATCTTTTCCAAGGGGAGAGACCACATTTTGAAGAAGGAAGGGGGGTTGTGGAAGCAATTGGCGTCCAGGTTGAGGATGAAGTTGAAGTGGAAGAGGCTTGCACCGGGCCTATGTTACATTTGATCTCTCCACCAAACTTCGAGGAGCTGCTTGGCAAGGACCCATTTGCAGTGTCTCTTTGCCCAACTAAGACCACATCAACATCAATCCCTCTTGGTGGATGCGATGGTGGCCAATCGATGCTGTCTTATCGGGTTTGGGGCAATGAGACAAGAGCAGATGCGAAGGAGAGGTCTCGTGAGTGGAGACTTCATCTTCCTCAAGGTCACGAGCTGTCTTCATCACCTATCACTTCACTTGCTTGTGACTTGAGACTCCACATCATCGATGAGAACCTCAACTTCAAGGAGGTTTTGGGGTGGACCGAAACTTAGGAGCCACCGTCTAGCTAAGACGTAAAAGAAGCGCTTGTGGGGAGGCAACCCCACCAAGGTTTGTTTTTCTTTTGTTTGTTTTTGTCGGTTTTTCCACTTGGAACTATGGTTTCTATCACCCAGTGTGTTTTGCTGATGCTAGCCCCGCTGACTGGTCCACTTCCAGTCCCCCAACAGTGTTTTAATCCGGTAACATCGTTCCCCTTCTCTTTCCCTCTACTCCATTGAGGGCAATGTCGTGCTTAAGTGTGGGGGGATGCTTTGTATCGGTTGGAATATTTATGATGGTGCTTGGAGCCTAGTCCGCTGTCCAAATCTTACGATTTGAGGGCTCCAAGTACTGCTGTTTGATCATATTGGCACTGTGTTTTGATGGATGAATTGATTGGTTTTCGGATTAATGCATGACAACTTGTTTGCGACTAGGACAACCTATGATGAGGACTGAGATGTGCAGTAGAACGATTTAGAGGTTCAGTTTTCCAACTGTTTGCTTGCCAACTGTGACTTGATCTGACTTGATCTGATTACTTGTTCTTGACAGTCGTTTATGCATCTAGTTCAGGGTATCAGAATGTGAGATAGAGCATATAGGTAGCCATGTGAGATTTGAGCCTGCTCGTTTCTTTTTTGTGCGATAGATCCCTCTTCCATGATGTGTAGCATTCACGTTGTCACTAGCTAAGATGATTGGGGCATAGGATTAGCCCACGCCCAAAAACTGACTCTCCTGATGTGTCATATCCCCTAGTCAGCCCCTTTGAGCCGTGTGTTATCCTTTCTTTTGGTCTATAATGAAAAAAATCACCCTTGTTGCATCTTTTAGAAGGTTCCACAGAGTAGTTTTTATATATTCTCTGCTGTTTCTGCTAAAGTCTATGTGAGTGTTGGAGGTAGTGCTTAAAAGTTGGGCAGGTATTTGAAATTTATGCAGAAGTGGTGGCTCTCTTAAGAAATGAAAAGAAAAATGAAAGAAAAACAAAGAAAAAAATTGAAAGCAAAAGAGAGCCACTACCAAAAATCTGAATAATGCCCAGTAAGCAGTGTTTCTTAGCAGTCTAGCTTGGAAATGCTGATGTTTATGCCTCCTTCGCTCTTGTGCTCTTGAGATGTTGAGTAATGCAGAATAGCAGAAAGAAAATACCGGGTTGTTTGACTGTGATTGTGTGTTTGGGAAATGTGGAACCTTTTGCTATGAATACTTCCACCACCTAAAAGGCCTTTTCCCCATGTCCAAGACCCTAGCCAGTCATTTGAACCTGTGTCTAAGACCTCCTGATTAGTTAGTGGTGACACCCCATATGTGAACTCTAGCATTTAGAGGCTGCCATCATGGTGAAGAGATGATAGGTATTGAGAGAAATAGCATGCGCATCTTTCGCATCAAATTGTCCTGACCCCACTGGTCGAGAGTGAGTGATTCATTTTCATTTTCTATATGCTCTTGTACCCCGGTGAGGACCTAGATTGCTCGGTCTCTATTCTGATGTCTTGAGTTGGATGCATGAGTTGACTGTTTTGAGTAAGTGGTTGAATCAAGTCTAGGTTGGCCAGTGAACAGACGGGAGACTCTTCCTTTACTCGATTTGCTGCA